CGATATTGCACCCCAAAAAATGATTCCTTTTTGAAATTTATCTGTTGATGCATGGATTAAAGATGGTGATATAGCTTCACTATCCTCTGCCCATATACCATCATTTCTTTTGTTTTGAAATGGCTGTAAAGTAAATTTCCCACTGAAATCCGTATTAACTACTCTATCCCATTTCCAATTTTTTGCATTTCTCTTAACACCAAATTGCAATCTTAATTATTTAGCACAAGCTATTCTTTTAATTTTATTTTGATTTGTTAATTTTTGAGATTTTTTTGTTTTAAACCATTTTAATTTTAATTTTCGAGGAGTATTATAAACAGTTTGTGTCGAACATTTAATTCCATGTCTGTTCATATTCGCTGTTACATTTCTAATCGAAGCTTCTCTTTTTAATCTGATTGATGTTTTCACTTGTTGTTGAAAGACTAGTGTTGATATTGAGATTGAACGTCCTGATCTTTGTCTATCATTGATTGTGTTTCTTGTCAATGTTCTTCCGATTTTTGTTACAAGTTGATGTCTTTTCGCTGACGGAGGATTTTCAGATTGTTGAAGAAAGGTAGCAATTTGAGATGCTGACCATGATGGGTTTAGAGTTTTTAAACCTAGGACAATAGATCGAAATTCTCTTTTATCTGATGAAATACTTGACATTCGAGAAGACAAATCAATTGATCTGATTAAAAGCACATAAGAGCCTATATGAATGGTTGTTTTTTACTAAAAAATGTGAACAAGATTTAAAAAACATTAATTATCTGCAAGCTTACTCAGTCACTAATAAAATCATCTTGTATTTGCATGCAATATACTCGAACAATTTGTTGCTTCTGCACGTGGTGTTTCAAGAGAATAAAAGTATATTATATATTTTTCCGGTACAAAAGAACATTGACAAATAACAGAACGCAAAAGTTCGACCTAGTAAACCATTATTTGTTTGAAATGAATGCGTATCGAAACAAATACAATTTTTTGTCATTCAAAATAGTCCCAATTAAAATTTGAAAAATTCCAATTCTTTTTTGTACTACTTATATCTCGGTAACAATAAAGAGTATAAAGCTCAAAGTTTATTGTATAATAGATCTAAATATGTGTAGTATATACTGTAAATATCAGCTTTTGAATGAGATAAATACGTGAGAAAAAATAAATTTAACGATGAAATCAGAACTTATTTTACACCCTTTATTTCTCATTTATGAATATGTTCTTCCATTTTACGAACGTCTTGAAACTTTCAGAATATCGTATATAAGACAAGGTTAGTTTTAA